TTGATATTTTATAATACGTTTATTATTCAATACAGGATGGATGCCTGCCAACTGAAGAAAAATTAAACCAATAAAAGTTTAGTCTGTCTATTTCTGTATGACCAAAGCCAAAACAAATTGACAGCGAATCTTGTTAAGTTGTAATATAGACGGGCCGCTTTCCATCAAGTCAATCCTATGCTTTTTATATATAAACTAAACTTTAAATGAAGTAAAAAAATCAGAATGCTACTGAAATAAGAAACTAATAGTTTTATTAAACTATCAATGTAAATATTAAAAAGAAATAAATGTTAAAGACATTGAAATACTTAAAACGTTGGTTTATATATTAGAGTCTTAACCGATTTTGATTTTATTAATTAACAGTAAAGTAAAATAGAAACGGCTAATAATCAATCTTATTTGAAAAGTTAAATCAAAGAAAACCGCGAAGTTGCGGTGCGCGAATCTTTGTTTATTTTCGACTGATTAAAATTAATAACCGCGCGAATGTCTGAGTTCAATAAACAAGTTTTGATTTAGGGCTGCTTCAGGAATTTCATTTAAAATTATGGAAATTTCTTAACAACGCAACGTAGAACAAATTTAATAGGAAAGGTTGGCAAGAGAGTTCGTCTGATGTAAAATAGTTGTAAAATGCGACAATTTTCATGAATTCTGTTAAATCATTAATTATTATATTTTTTGGATTATTTAAAAAAAATTGTGTCTCAAAATATTTTTAATAGCAAAGAATGTGTTTTAAAGTTAAATATTAGCATTAGTTATGTTAACTATACATATATAAAAACTTATTTATGATATGTACTACATGACTTTTAAAACTTGATAATTATTACACCTGTATATTTACTGCGCACTACTGGGGACCGAACTCTCTTTCAAACGCAAAATGCAAACAACAAAAAACCACAGTTTTTTAATTTGTACGATTTTCAATAATGATTTTTCTAAGATACGTTGCCATATTTGAATGACAGTGCAAATTGAGAACATTTCTGCCTATCCCTTACAACAAATGAGATTAGATGAAGCTATTGTCTCGTATTCAGTTACTAATGCGTTCATTCTCTGGTTTCTATATCATTCACGATCCTACATATTATAATTCAAATACAAATATCAGTGCGATTCACATATAACTTACATTAATAATCCATTATTTATTACATCGTGGCACCACAGATAAAAAACATTAAACGACATTCAACATTGACATAATACAATATTTACCAATTTAACATTTATATGTACATAACGATTACAATATAACATTGATAATGATCTTTACGTATTGTTTGTAGCTTACGCCAGTAGTAAATATATAAATAAAATACTTTTAACGGTTTCAAACGCGAAATTAAAGTAATGATTAAATTAAAGTAAACTTAATGACTGAATATTATACATTGTAAATAACTAAAACATTACAGATTTAAAACTGTAAGGGATGTTTTATTTAGATGTGCTACTCGCTTGTTTCTTGATAATGCATAAATTTAGAATGTATTTTGATGCAAAATTACTACCTAAGTTTTTGAGTTGACTACGAATAGTTTAATTTTTTACTCAATGCCGTTTTTTGTGTAAAAGGCACAAACATCAAAGGATGACATCATTACCCTTCCATTCGGCTTTGTCGTAGTCGGATAATAAAGTAAATAACGTAATAAGATAGGAAACAAAATAGGACCGTCCGACTCGAAGACAGACACTATTCATTTCCTCCGAACGGCGATCGATCTTAATCGAAGGGGAAGGCCGTCTACACATTAGTGGAATGCACGTTCTTAAAGAGGTATTTATCTATATAAGAAACTATCTATCAACAAAACTAAATAAAAAACAATAATTATGAAAAATTGCCGACAAATATTGACGGGCACATTTCGGGCGTTTTGCTTTTAGTCTGTGAATTTACTAATATCCAAAGTCAATCGAGTAAACTAGAGATGAAAAATCTCGGCTTTAGTCACGGTTTTTTCTTAGCGTGCGTTAAAATAAGCACGAGTTATATTATTACTCCAAACTTAACCTTGAAAATTATACGTTACAACTCAACTTTTCGAGCTGCTGCTCTACCCAATTGAGCTACCGAGACCTACGCGTTATCGTTGAATTTCTTGAACCCAATCATACATGCACCTCTCGCGCCGAGCAATTTCAACCCTAAATACGTAAGTGTATTGAATGTAATATCTTATGCTTTGTACTTAAGAAATCATAGAAGATTACATCATAATGCATATCTACATTTTAGATGTATATAGAATAGAGAATAGAATAGAGTAGAAATACGTTTATTCAGAAAACAACACAAATTTACAATAATAAACTCATTTCATAAACAATAGAATTATAAACATAATATATTATGACTGAATACAGTCAAAAATTAAATAGTACAGTTGCCCCTGAAAAGGGAGCCCACTCAGCTAGTACTTTGGGACTAATGTCCCAACACTGATCTGTGGCCCCTGAGGCCGAGCTAACACAAGTGATACAGTTTGACATTTCTTTTATCAGTTATTTTTTATACACACACACTTAACACAATCACATTTATTAAGAAATATCTATAAAAACAATAGTGTAACAAAATAGGTACTTGAGTTTCCATGCTTAACTTTCAAATAAAAATACTTACATTTTCACTTCAATTACACAAAAGGTTTTAATGTACATTTTTATAATTCTCTTTCTAATGCATAGCATAGTTTTTTTTACTTACAAAACTGTTTTTCTTAAATTATTACAATATAATATGACGCTATCATGTGCAATAACATGTGAAAAACGTCAAAAGATTTTTAAACTTGCAAGTTTGCCAACAAAAGAAATAAAATCATTTTCTTTCAAGTCAAAGATAATTGCTATCGTTACAACATTATCTTTCACGGGAAGAAAAGAGACATAAAACGTAAACTATGCCTGCAGACATGGGGGGAGGCCCGCATAAATCTGACAGCGGCTGGCAAGCGTCTGAAGATGGGCTCACAGTGTTCGAGAGGTATTAACGCTTTCCCCTGCCTTCAGGAGTAACGGCCGTCGAAGTGAGCCAGGAAACAGGCGAGTTTAAACGCTAAACAATATCTCTGCATAGCATAAAGCAAGCTTACATTGTCACTAAGTTTTGTTAGACTGTAATTTTTTAAGCATTTTATACATTTAAAAACTTTTATATTTTTCACGTGATGGCACTATATAAAAATAAAAAATTAGGCCAGGACGCGAGAGATGGTGTTTATAAATTGTCAATATTTTAAACTAAATGCGCTAATTATAATTTAAAGCGTTTATATAATTTAATTTAAGTTATATTAAAGCTAAACCGTTAAATGATGTCAACATTTTCCGCAGATTGGCTAAAGTTATCATGTTTATGTACCGCCATTTTGAATATAATAATTCTTTCCTTGTCGAATGTAAACTGCTTACTATATAAAATAAAATTTACTACGACCTGTATTTTATTATGAGTTACTTATTTAAGGAAGTCACTTTTCGTGGCCCAACGTTTCGGGGGTGATTAGGTGGAATAATGGTTAAGTTTGCGTTTATAGAGGTGATCGGAAAGATTTGGTATAGTCTCTGCCCACTGTTTAGCTGGGATTTATTAAGCTTTTATTTTATAGGGGATCATCACTATATAAATTGGAAAGAAAGGGCTTTTAACGTAAAAGTCCTATAATACAATCTTGGGTAAAAAGCTTATTGAAATAATATTTTTCACATTTTGCACATACCACAAGCACTAAATGTTTACGCAATGTCATTCCTTATTAACCAAAAGAGTAGCTTCGTAGTATTTCTAGAGATTAGATCACTCTTTTAGACCCTAGTAAAACGTAAAGATAACTAACTACATATTAAAATTATAATATAAATTTGGTAAAAACAATATAAAATGGGAAGGCGAAGATAGTAGTATCTAAGCCTTCCCATATATTTTTTATAATACCACCCACTCTGAAAACTAAGATATTTACTTAATAACATGGGTCACGTCTTATATCATATACAAATAAGACTTGATGTTAACATGCAATGCCTATAAATAGCTGTATTATAATTCCTTAGAATTTGAAGATACATAATTATCCCACATAAGGATGAAATTATGGCTCGACTCTCGCCCATAATGCGATCACATAGTCCAATTATGATTACCGTAACTGGCAACACTAAATGACAAAACGATGTTATCAGCGAGTGTTATCATTTATCTGTGCTGGCAAGTTAATTATTCAGGTATTGAGTAATTAATCGAGCCACATACACTAATTGTGCCTGATTGCTCGTCCCTGATCGATCTGTGTTTGCTACTTTGCCCAATTGCGACGGTACAAATTATTATGATGCTATGTATGTACATAATGGTATATTCAAGATATTAGACATCTTAAATTTATTTTTGTCGACAATATGAGTGTGTTGTCGTTTGTTTCCCCTTCTGTTGTGAAAGAAAATACATTATATTATATGTTTTTGTAGGATTAACATATATATTAACATAAAGCTATCTTTCTAGCATTGTAAAAACATAATCATTAATTTAAGATTAACTCGCTGTCATCCACAATGTCGTACGCGACGCGTCGTTCTAACGAGTTAATCATATGAAATATACATATACTGTCGCGGACATTTTTTCAGATCATATAAAGAAGAATCATTGTGACATAATTTTTTTTTCATTATCTTCAATCGTTTTCACAGCGTCCTCAAAGATGATAAATTTTCCCCTTTTTTCCTATGTTTCTTCGCTCTAATTGATCACAGCATATAGTCTTTCTCGATACATGTTATATCTAACACAAATATATAGTAGTTCTTAAGATTAGCGCGTTCAAACAAACAAAAAAAAAACAAACTCTTCGGCTTTATAAAATTAGTAAAATTATATTAGTACTACTTTTAACGAAACAACTGCTATTGCAAAACAGTGATTTATCCAAGTTAATTATAGAACTCGATTTCCGTTGCAAAGGTGCAAAATGAAGAGCAACGCACACAACTTGAAGACCAACAGCACTGCAAACACAAAAGAATTAAACAAACGAGCGCACGATTTGCGAAATCTATTTGCGAGTGTAAGAGTAACCCCTCAAATGCGTAAGTCAAAATCAAGAAGCCAATCACCCGGCCGTTTATATACCAAAGGAAAGACGCTAGGAAGAAGGGCAAATTCAAATATTGACGAAGCTCTCGACGACAATGTGAATTGGAGCTCGCCCGACCGACGCGAACGCCAGTATTTTCACAATAAACAGCGAATATTTGGTAGGGAAATTGCTAAGTTTATCTACTGTGTCGGCATTGCCAACTGTCATACTTTATGTGCCTATTTTTGGATTTCAGGCCAAGGACAAAGATTTCTCGATAAAATTTAAATTTTCTTAATTATTTAAATAAAACTTTATATATTAACTAATATACTATATAACTATAATAACTATTTTCACATTTTGCCGCATAATTCGGCTGAAACTTGTTGACTTTGTCTGGAAATGTGGATCTTAAATGGATGGTATATCGTAATTTAATTGCGTTTCATTTTTAGTCTGTGGATTTCCGACTAACCAAAGCCTAAATCACAGCGCACGTTTAAACGTTTTATAGCTGGGATATTTCACATACCGAAAATCAAACCTCATACTTGTCTGGCCTCCTCTATTATAAAAAAATGCAACCAGTATTATTTTACGATTGTGTAGTATTATATCTTAATCTGAGGGTTAAATTTACAAAAAATATTTTATACATTACTACATAGGATAACTACAACAAAATATACCCATTTTTATAATTAGGAAGGAGAAAGGGTCTCATACATCGGCTCGCCCCAAAAAGAAGCTGAGCGAAAAATATTAAGAAAAGGGATAGTTTCCCAAATCAATTTAGGCCGGACTTACCCCTATACAATTAAATTGCGGACTGACACAGCTATTAAGGATCCCTTAAACGGTTGAAATAGTCTGAGAACAATTTATTCGAAGTTCGTGAGTAGTGACGTCACTATCTCGTCCCCGGCGCACCTGGTACAATCAGTCCCTTGTCAGATTGAGGCGGGTTATCTTCGAGCACAAAATAAATGGAACAAATTCATTGTGAGTAAATAAAAGGAATGTATGTAAAATACATTGAAGTAACGGCGTCTGCTAAAATGCGGATGCGAAGGCTAAAAGTAGTGTAAAATAAAGAAATACATAACTGCATGTATAGTATTGGTGCCAACCTCGCCGTTATAAGAATTGCATAGCTTGAAACCAGTGAAACCTAAACAAATAAGAAAAACTCAATATACGGAACGAACACGGTCTTATTAGAGAGAACAGGGAACCGTTTATTACAAGTAACCTGCTAAACAAGGACGCTTGTATCTTTAACGCCATAAAAAAATAGGTTTGTGATGACAATATTTTTTTTGTATAAGTACTTAAAATGAAACAAACTTGACGGTTTGAAACGCGATATAGAAAACATCGGGACGTAGTTAAAACAAAGATTACTTAAATAGATGAAAAAAATTACGAAAGTGTTTGTTCAATTAGAAAAATTGATGTGCATAATAACTTTAACTTTAAAGCGATTGTTTTTTTTATATTAGTAAACGAGAAGATTTCTATGTGGTTATGTTATGCCTAACACTACTACTCCTTTGTAAAGTCAAGTAATAAATAATAATCATCAAAAATATTAAATCTTAACTATAGCTCGTCATAATAATTATTTGATATTTAGATCGTTCTAATATTGGGTCTGACGGCGTAATATTACACGTTACTGTTATTACCGAGCCGGTTACTGCCGATCGTAACTCGAAATTAACTTGATAATCTAGCATAAAACAAATTTATGGACTATCAAAACAGAGTTGGACAATGCTTCGCGTGCCACAGGCCTGTTATGTTACGGAGCGTTTAATTTTACCATCAAATTATTTGGGTGCAAATGACCCGGGCCGCGGTGCAAGGTTAACTTTTCGGAAGGTAATATTAGTTATAGGCGCAGCGTTACTACTATTTTCATTAAATACTCATTTTTAAATATTAAAAAGCGTATTCAAATGCATGATGGTTTTAGTTAAAAATCAATTATAATTGAAAAAAGTAGCAACACGGACAGGACCTGTATCCACAGCGTACCGTACTATACCGTATTTTTTTCAATTTATAATCGATTTTTCATTCATATGAGTGCCAACATGTGAAAAATAATATGGTTTTAGACAAACATCTAATTTAGTTATCTGTGGTATTGCAATGTTATAGTTATGTGGCAAATAAATACGCAAATTACGCAATCGTAAACATGTACAATATATTTTTGGATATATTAATTACTTTTCCATTAAAATACATAAATATTTTCCGAATCTCTAAAAACCCTATAATTATTTTTTAGGTTTTTGTGCCTATAATCAAAATCTATTGAGAGCGAAAAAAATTAATGACACAGACGGGACTTGAACTGGCATTCACATCGAGCCGTGCTGCTGCTTATACCAATTGACATAGAATCTATTTAGATAAAAAAATTGGCAACATGTTCCGCTATGGTAATTGAATAGAATACTGCTGCTGTAGCACCTGTAGTTGTAGATGCCGGATGCCGATGAGTAATTTTTAATTTACAGAATTCCATCACGTACGCATGTAAATAATAATAATGTATAAGCCTTTTTTATTTCTTTTGTCCTGTACTTCAGGTTACTTGGAAGTGATCGCTGCTTAGCGAAAAGGCCGCCATTTATTTATGAGTTAGCACGTAAGTTTTTTATCTTTTGAATATTTTGTGATATATATTATAAATAATTAAGCTGCAATAAATAATTTTTAAAATGTTTTCAAATATTACATTTTTTATTTTCACATTATAAGATTTATGTTATAGTTGGATAATGAAAATGATTCTTGCTCCATAGCAGTAGGAACATCATTAAATAATCAATAAATCATTACGGTGTAAGCAAAGTATGAACACAAGTGCCTCATTATCTTTCAAGTCGGTCGCGCGGTTCACAAAGGCAAGCAGTCACGCGTAACGCTATAGATTGGGTGATTGTAGCCACGCTGACATCCCGAGGGTTCTGCCGTCAGATTTTTTACTTTAAAACCATTTATCTCATAAGTGAAATAATGGTATGATTGAATGCGCACATATTCGTTCAGAGAAAAATGTAAGCATTGGTAATCGATTTTTTAAAACATGATAATATGCATTTGACAGAACGTCGGATGGTATTCTAAAAGTAAGGTACAAAAGACTATTTTAATAGTCCAAAACAAGTTTTAAAAAAACGCTTTAACGGTTTAAAACGCGATATATTAGTTAAACTTATTTGAAAATGATTTTTAAACGTCGGATCAGAGTCAAAATCATTTTCAAATAAGTGTAACTAATATATCGCGTTTTAAACCGTTAAAGTGTTTTATTTAAGTGTGTACAACTCGCGTAAACTATAGACTAATAGTATAGTAGAATAATATCTACTCTAAACAACTCAATCTGATAAACTTAATAATCTCTGATAAACTTAATACGATACAAATTTATGGTCTGATGACAACATGTAAACACGAAATAAAGAATGTGTTATATTTCGTTGAGTGAACATCCAATTGATTAGAGTGAATTAAATCTTGGAAGAAAGCTTTTTAAAAGTAACACGTTTATGTTAAAAATCTTCAATATTTTTAGAATTAATAATACCACAATTAAAAATATTGATATTTATAAAAATAAGATATATAGGTAAAAAACTGATAAAATCTTCTAGAAATAATGTCCCTAACTCTCCAGAATTAGGAAACTGAGGAATAAACGTAAAAAATAAGCACAGTCATTTCACTAAAACGTACCACACTCAACGTAATAGGCTCTTTCTTTTATATTCCAAGAACATCACAAACCGAAATATTTTTCACTCGGAAATATTAAAATATTCATCAAACCGCGTTTATTAACATCGCGCGGCGTCCAAAAATGGCGGTGGGACGTGACGTCCTTCAAAAATAAATATGCCTAATCCCGTGAAATATCTGCGGATCAACTCGGTATGAATATTAAACAATATAATAACAACGCTCATTACTGTACACCGTTTAAATTAGGGAAAATTGAACGCGTGACGACATTATTGATGGTCTGCTAACCCACTGTGCGAAGCAAATCTAATTATACGCCGATGGTAATTTTCAATTCAATATAAATTATGAAACTTAATTTTATATCGCAATATATCGCATTATATTTTGTCTTTAAAGGTTTACAATAAATGTTAATAATATAATATAAGGTAGTCGTCTGCCAATATTATACGATATACTCAGTTACAGGAGCAAATTTAATCTGTGGAAATTATTCGAGCGATTATAAATAAGATAATGTGGTAAGCAAAGCGATCCCAAATCCAGGGTAAAAAGTAGTATGCGACAAAAATAAACATCACAGTGGGTAAAGATAAGCAACACTCGTATTTTCTTGTTAAGAAGTTGAATGAGTTTTTTCCCGCATTCGCCAATACGAATGTCAATTAACGCGACTGTCAAGTTTTTCCTATTCCTGTCTTGGGACAGAAGAAACCATCGTTTCTTGAAAGCAAATGTAATACAAGATTATATTGTAGTTATATTTTGCGAATTAAAAGTAATAAAATCTTTAAAAGTTAAAGCAATTTGTGTTTGTAATAATTCTCTATAAAAATACCACCTTCGGCGTCTTTAGCGAGTTAAGCTACACATTTTAAGTAAAGTCACCCCTAAACTTAATTATACGTAATTCTTCTTTACCTTTAATTAGGTTGATTGAAGCTTAAAATATTGCCCAGAAAATATGAATATTCAAAAATTGGAAAAATGCCGATGAAAAAGGCATATTGTCTTCATTACATCGGCAAAGGCATTTCTTTCTATTCACGTGCAACAAGGCGGAAAATTGCGTTACTACTCGATACCGGGCCTTTTGAACAAAAACTGGACGGTCTATGAAAGGGTACACTTGGCAAAGAAAATGTTGGCTTCGTAAAAAATTAAATTTCTAGACTTTCGCCCTTATTTTTAGCTTTATACGAAGTTTTCTTTGAAAAAAATAATATATCTTTATTATTTTCAAAAGTAAAAGCCGTAACTATTCTGAAACAGCTGCGAATAAAAAAAATAAGAAGTAGCGTTTTGAACCCCTTAAATCTCACAATTTAACGGAAAACACGTGTTTTATTTTTCGTGGATAAATTAGTGGTATAAACATTTTTATCGTTCATTTTGTTTTATTCTAATATGTAAGGTACACTTTAATAAAACGTATGTATAAAGTTATTTTTAGGAGATTTATATACTTCCGTTGCAAGAATAAGGTATCGATCTACTAAAGAAAATCATATTTTCCCGTGATTGTACGCGCAAGGAGTGTTGAAAAGTGCAGTCGTCAGCCCTCCTCTGCGCATTATGACTAACGAAGCAGAGGGTCCCGCGCGAGGGCCGCTCAGTCCACCGAACTGCAATAAGAGGATACACCCTTCATGTGTGGTGCAAGTCATCAGCAACGACGGTCTGAAGACGGTCTAAGATGAGCTTGAGATGAGGCTTAATATTAACCAATTTGATATTTAAACTTAAGTAAGTAAAAGCTGTGAACTTTAATCGCGTTTCGGTATAAGTCGGATTTCCGAACAACTCGACAACTCATCTTGTTTAGATGCTAAAGGCATGCAGTATTTCACATCACATCAAATGAACCCCAAGCTTGTGTGTGTGTCCCTATGTTATGTCCCCAAGCCTATGTTAAAAAAAACTACGCCGACACTTTAAAGCGAGGCGATTTCAATCGAAAGTATATATAAAAAAATAAACCGTGTTACAATTAATTTAAAATGGTTTTATCTAATATGTTTGTTACTACTAAGTAAGTAAGAGTGAATTCCAATTCGTTAGGCCTGTTTTATGGATCCTGGATTCTAAAAATGATGGCCAAAAATCAACTTGTACCACACAACCCAAAATTCTCTCCATCTCATCAATTACACCGTAAAATAAAAGAGGAAATTGCATTAAATTATAAGTCGTCGAGAAATCACGTTTTGTTTCTGACTGGCTTTAACGGTGTGAATAAACTCGACGCTTAATTAGTGGAAGTCCAAAGACGGCGGATGTCGGCTGACGTGACTTGGACTTCGAATGATTACGTCATTTCGTTAATCATGGAGACAATTTGCCCCTTTTTAGATGTAAAAGATATGCTAGTGTTAGGATTTCTCAAATCTAATTTTAAAGATATATTATACTTAAACTGTTTAAGTTAAATTTTAGTTGTTTTATATTACCAATAATAATATTAGTATGATTTTTTCATACAATTCAATAAATTACATAAAAATAAGACGCGGTATATATGCGTGATCACGGAAAGACACGCTGCTATAAAGCATTCGCAACGTCGGGCCGTAGTTAAAATTAAGTCTTAAGTAAAATAACTTATATATATCGCGTTTAAACCGTTAAAGTTTTTAAATGTGTACTCACGTAAACTACGGACAGTATTCTAGTCAATAATATCAACCCAATGTTCAGTCCCAGTCAGACGAAGCAACAAATACAAAATAAATTAGACTTGTCTTCTAGCCTCAAAAATAGAAAAAAATGGCGAATAATACAATTAACCAATAAATAGGTCCAATATTGAAGAATAAAAGACCGGTAAATATTTAGTTCTAAAGCCTCAGTGTATCCCCGAAATGCTGGAGGCACTAGATTTCATTAAAAAAATAACCTCAAATATTTCACCCGGCTTCGAACGCAGAACCTCTCGCTCTTAAGCCTTTAGCTCGTGTTTGCGTTTTATGATAGTGGCGGTCAAAAAACAAGTGATGATGCAAGGGTCTGAACCGAATGGCTCTTTAGTACGCGTGTCACGCGTTGGGAAATTTTTCCTATCCAAAGTTAACATTGATCCCGTTTAAGCCTCCTCGTTTACATACAAATTACCAACTTGAGACTTTGATAACGAGGAATATTTCGTACTCACAAAAATACTTCATAAAGAAATTTCATAAAGCGCATGTAAAAATATTTTTAACGGTTTCAAACGCGATATGTATTAGTTACATTTATTTTAACTTCAACAAGCTTTTTGGATGCTTTGCAGCAGCCGTTTAACTAGTTTTTTAAACCGTTAAAAGTGTATTATTCAAATGTGAGTAACTCGCGTAAACTACAGACAATGCTTAATGCACATGTGATTGTGATGTGAAAAAATTTATAATCTTTACTATATTTACTTGGCTCAATTATACTTTGCCAGAGATTTCTCGATTTGCATCTGAAACAATACCTTGACACATGGAGTCTTAAAGAGGGCGCTAACAACTCGTTGAATTTAATAAAAATATATAATAGAGAGAAATTTAAAAATGTTTTCGTGATATAAAATTTAACTTTTCTCAATATTACAATATGACACAGCCGTGAATCGAACCCGTGAAAAAGGAGCGTATAGACAAATATTTCAATGTCCTATATAACATTTATATACGCTAGTATAACAATTAAAATGTTTTAATTTCGCCCAATTTGAATCTGCGAGTAATAAAAAACTGGGACAAAAAGGTATGTGCTGGCAACACGAGCTAATCTCCGTCCTGGCACAGACCCAAACACCTAATTCTAGTTCTCTGCTTGCGGTGTTTTGGTGAAATATAGCTTCCAGCAGGTTATCAATTATACAAGAAGAATGAATAGAGGCGTCATATTCAAATCAACATTTTAGGCTTTTTCCTTGAAAAGGCATTTCTAGAAAAAAACACTTTAAATTTACCGAGTCAAGGTTATAGCAACAGCACGGAACATTTAGGTTGCCTGTTCAAGTCCTACCCGAGTCGTAAATTTATTCAAAATATAATCCATTTTTAATTTATATATTCCTATCATGTGCAATAACATATAAAAAAAATATATAAGGGTTTTCATATCCCTTAAGTATATGTTATTTGATAAATACTGAAGGCCTAAATAATAAAAATAAAAAAATAATTATAACGCCAAAAGCTGCTTTAAACCAGTTTTATAAACATTCTAGTTTTAACATTTGAACATGGAATTAACTCTAGTTTCCACTAACGAGAATAATATCTAGGCTATTGAAACTTGCAAATGACCCCACAATTAGACGGGATACTTTAGACAATTGGCTAACAATTACAGTCTGGACTAGCCCGCAGTCTGCAACTTTTAATGGCCGCGCTAATGGCCAAGCCATTGCATTTTCTTGCTCTTGTATTAACTAATAAGACTACAAGAACTTCTTGTTTAGGTCTCTCAAGATTTTTTTTTAGGTACCTAATCTATACTTGCAGCATTAAAGATACATTAACTAGAAAGAAGATGTAATACTCATGTGCTAAAAAATCTAAATAATCTGAGGCCGCTAGAGACAGAGTAACTTACTGAAATTTTATTACTCATAAAATTTCAGTAAGTTACTCTGTCGAAGGATTTTTCGCCATCCTTTAGTATTGTAAATTATATACATTTACCGTCACACCATTAGCAGTTAATTTATTTCTAAACTTGGCAAATAATCCTTTAATTACCAATATTATGCTTTAAATGTAATTGCTGTTAAAAACTTAGCACAATTGTATTGTGCGGGCTCTAACTATTACACAAGTTTCCTCCTCAATAATTCATTCGAATGAAAATCGTTTTAAACATTCCGCATCACATAATTAAAGTACAATAATATTTGAGGTATTTTGATATTAAACAGCGAAGTCTAGACTCGACTCCCAAGTTAGGTTATAAATTTAGTCTAAGTATATTGCGGAAGTTTACAGCTAAAATAATGTTTTTGAGCCGGAAAGTTCATGTTTTTCGTGTAATGAAACTATGAATATTAAATGTCTACAAATGGTCGGAACAATTATTTCGTCTGAAATCTAATCGCGTTGTAAGTATTACTTTAATAACATTTAGTTTTAGTAACTCGGTTTTTAAATATGTACGATAACGATTCTGTGAATTTAATGTATATCCTGATGGTTAAAACGTTATTAATGTATATATGTTATTGCTATATAAAAATAAAATCTTATTTTAATTAGAACAAGTTCGATAACCACAAGCTACGGAAAGTGTCTCAGGTTAAGAACATATATATTTTTTTATACTCATATTTGAAACATCAATGGTGAACGGGATATTTTTTTTATGATTTATTAGGTATACTAACGATGTGACAATATCAAAAACTTTTAACTCCTCAAGAACAGGACAATTTTCAACTTTTGGTTTGCGTAAATAAATATATACATTTCAATAAAATTCTCATACTCATAAATTATTAAGCATTTATATGCAGAAGAGGCTTGTTACAACTGTCTAGAAGAATAAGGATCATAAAGTCCAGAATTTAAAGGTTTACAGAAATGTCGCTGTCGTCGGTCGCAGTTTGATAATCAAGAGACACAATGGCATGTCGACGCCGGATTAAAAAGTTTCTCCTTGTGGTCCAAGCCACAGGCGCAAGCTAGAGGAAAATATTCAAATAAAAACATTAAAGAAGGTTTAGTTTATTAAAGTTAAAATTATACCGTACACTGTAAGAAGAAGCTTACGACATATGTATTTATGATGTCTTGTGACTGTCAAAATCGTATTCTTAAAGCAGTTATTTGAAATCATTTATCGCACAACATAGTATAAAATATGGATTTAATATTGATAGATAACAGATGTTATCAAATGTTGGTCTTATTTACCAAAATTTGATTCGAAACTTCGATTAAACTCGATGGGAGTTTTTGGTGAAATAAAGATTGTCATCACATTTATTTCAAGTAAGAAAGCTACAATTTAAAGTACGGGAACTAAATTAAAATTTAATTAACTTAATTACCATAATACATGTTACGTTGGTACGTTATAAAAATGCCTGAATCGTTAAATATTTCTGAATCTCTTTATTTATCATGTTTTATGTGTAAATTAAATCACATTTTAAAATAGGAAATTGTTGCTTCATTTATTCGCTCAAATTCCTTAACTTATTCCAGCAATAACTAAGCTCGAATCATTTTCGAGTCGACGATACTAACAGCTCAGAGTCACAGCTGATCCAACGAGATTTGCATTGAAGGACTTTTTGTCATAATTCTTGTTTTCACTTTACAGCATCCTTTATTAATCTGCTCACAGACTCGTGGTTAGATTCCCATTAAAGGGGCAAAATGGAAAAGGGTTTCTTGCATTATACCACGAGAAAAATACGAATCACATTTGTAATATTTATATAAGTATGTTTTTATTACTATATAAAGAAATAACGTGAAATAACAAGTAAAAATTAAGTAAGGGTTTTTAAACGATAATAACTCTTTTACATGAATACTATCTTTAAAAAAAACATAATTTTTCAGACAAAAAGAAATTGTTTAAATATATAACGATTCAGTATTAGAAATGTAACTATTGCTAGGAAAGATTAAAATAGGTATTTATTTCTTAGCTTCGATTAATAAACATGAAACGTTTAGCGACAAGATATAAGTATATATGAAAGTATTATTTTCAAA